CTTCCTTCTCGCGGCACTGTGACAGATTTTCTTTTCCAGCCTTCGGCTGAGTGGTATCTTCGCTCGAAGAGGCGGTGATCGGAGCCACTGCAGAAGGATGGAACTACTGAGACATCGAGCAAGCTCCACCTTCGGTTGGTGAGAATGTGGTCGATCTCCGCGCGAGTCGTTCCGTTGGGCGATTCCTATGTCCACCGGCGATGTTCTTTCTTCATGAAGATGGAATTTCCATGGAAGAGTCGTGCGGCAGAGAGAAGCCCAGCGAGACGGTTGCCGTTTTCGTTCCGGAGCCCATATCCAAACTTCCCGATCCTATATTCCTTTTCTAGTGGCATCCCGATTTTCGCATTGAAGTCGCCCACAACATACTTGTAAAAGGACTTTTCGTTGCGGACGACCTCCTCCACGTCTTCGTAGAAAGCATCTAGTTTTGAGCCGTCAGCTGCTAATGTTGGAGGGTAGCAGTTGATGATGCTGATGGTCTTCTGACGTGGAGGGCGTAGTCGTAGGATGGCTAGTCGGGGTGATAGGATCTCGTGCGAATCGACAAGATGGACGATAGATGGGTGGACGACAAAGCTAACGCTTCCCACGTTTCGTGATGGAACCTTCTCACCACGAATGATGAGCGTCCCATCATTCATCTGTCGCACGTCCTTCTTCCTGGACTTCGTTTCCTGCACAGCGATGATGTGGTACTTGATGTGCTCTGCAGCTTCGAGAAGAGCGTGGAGGTCGGCGTTTGTGGAGACTGTCCTGGCGTTGTAGGTGCAGAGTATGAGGCAGTCTCCATGGCGAGTCGTCCGGGCAGACGTGTCGTTTTTGTCCATTCCAAAAGGCGCCCTGAGGACCCTGACATCAGTCTTGCTACCACCCGGCGCCGTAGGCGGGATCCGATGTGCAGGGTTTCTTTCTATTCTTCTAACTGTTAGATTAATGAAATTATTCCCCTACAAGAGCAGACTTACTAGGCCAAGTCTTGATTTCCACGGGGCGATCGCTGACCCCGGGCTTGGAGCGGGGAGAACCGCCTAGCGACCTGAAAACCAGACGGCGGTGGATCTGGCCTGAGCGAGGATAATCTTCGTGAAAAGCTTATACAGATTCAGCAGACATATTGGACGGTAGCTCCGAAGATCCTACCGTTCACACTTCTCAAAGAGAAGGACGGTTCTTGAAGTTTCCACTGGTGTGAAATCCTTTTTTCTGAAGGTAAGATGATAGATGCCACCATCTCGTGTCGGTTGTCTGGTTCGCAGAAGTTCGACGGAAAGATGGCCTGATCCTGGAGTCGTGGACGTCTTCATGGTCTGAATCGCTGTGCGCAATTCAGCATAAAATTCGTGGTGGTACTTCTCCAGTTAAGACAACGGCCATCCGCACGGGTGTTGATGAGCGGAAGAGGTTGGTACAGAAGTTCTTCGCGATAGTCCATCTTATATTGGAAACAAGTCGGGGTCCCGTCTTCGTTCAATAGCGCTGCAGCGGCACGTGATATTCACAGAGGTCTTTCAACCCTTGAAACTTCGTTTTTTTCGGTTACTTCCAGGATCTTGGATTGCCTGTACTTCCTGAGATCCTCGTGCAAAGCTATTCTGGAACTAGCGTTGGCTATTAGTTGCTCAAGACGGGTTGCATTCGGATGACAAGGCTCTTCTTTTCTGAGTAACTCCTTGGTGGCCTTTGAAATGCGTTTCGAGTTTTTTCGGAAGCCACTGAGGTGCACTCTTCGCAGGCTCGCAATCTTTTCAAAGGCCAGGCGTAGTCGTACGTTGGGTCCTCCTCGATGGTCCTCTCACAAAACCTTGATAGCTCTTCCACCCTGTTACCGTCATGACGACATTCTTCCTTCTTGCAGCACTGTGGCATATTCCTTCTCTTGCTTTCGACTGAATCGTACCTTCGCTTGAAGGAGGAGGTGATGGGAGCCACTGCATAAAGATGTAATTACTGAAACATCAAGCAAGCTCCCCCTTCGGTTTATGAGAAGGTCGATCTCGGCGTGAGTCGTTCCCTTGGGCGATTCCCATGTCCACCGGCGATGTTCTTTCTTCACGAAGATGGAATTTTCATGTAAAAGTCGTGCGGCGGAGAGAAGCTCAAGGAGACGGTTGCCGTTTTCATTCTGGACATATCCAACATCCCGATCCTATATTCCCTTCCCAGTGGCATTCCGATTTTCGCGTTGAAGTTGCCCACAACAAACTTGCAGAAGGACTTCTCCTTGCGGCGACCCCTTCCACTTCTTCGTAGAAACATCTCATTTTTAAACGTCAACCGCTGATGTTGGCGATTAGCAGTTGATGGTGCTGATGATCCTCTAATGCGGCGGTCGTAGTCGTAGGATGAATAGTCCGAGTGATAGGATCTCATGCGAATCGAAAGATGGACGATAGATGGGTGGATGACAAAGCCAACGCCCTCAAACTTTCGTGATGGCTTTTCATCACGAATGATGAGGGTTCCGTCACTAATCAGTCGCGCGTCCTTCTTCCTGCAGAGCGATGATGTGGTACTTGATGTGCTCTGCAGCGTCGAGAAGAGCGTGGAGGTGACGTTGTGGAGACTATCCTCGCGTTGTAGATGTGCAGAGCGTGAGGCAGTCTCCATGGCGAGTCGTCCGCACAAACGTGTCGTTTTTGTCCGTTCCAAAAGGCGCCCTGAGGACCCTGACATCGTTCTTGCTTCCACTCGGCGCCGTAGGCGGGATCCGGTATGCAGAGTTCTTTTATATTTTTTCTTGCTGACGGAATAATTATATTGTTCCCCTAAAAGAGCAGACTTACTGGACCTACTCTTGATTTGCACGGGGCGATCGTTGACCAGGGTGTGCAGCGGAGGGTACCGCCTAGCGGCCGAAGAAACCGAGTCGGAAATCAGACGGCGCAGGAATTTGGCCTAGCCGGGTCTTAGCTAGGCATCTAACCGGAACCGAAAACATCGAACTCTTTCACAGCTTGGGAGGCTCTGCCAGATTATACACTCGTTTGCGTATCACAGTTCGACACTCAGTGTCACCCCCAAGCCATGTTGAGGCGACCGACTAGTGGGGAAGCATTGACAGATAGTGAACATAAATTTGATATCAGCGTTTTACGAGGGTATGCAGTTTAGTAGGGTTGAGTTACCATTACCTGTTTAGATTAAAGAAGATGAATCAACCTTGTACTCCTGAAGACTACGAAATCCCTATCGAGTATATGTATTTTTGCTTGCAATGAACCTATTGGCGCACACCTAGCATGCCATCGTGACCCGTCACTGTCCCTGAAAGTTGACTAAAAATGAAAAATATGTTTTTTTTTGAGGAGGGACAATTTAAATGAAATTCTAATGTGAGAAAATGAAGGTTCAGAGGTTTCTACGATATAGAAAACATGCTTATTTGAAGGCGATTATTTAGGAAACTTCTAGCGTTTACCGTACGGGCTAGTGCTTTGTTAGGTGAAGAAGAGGTATTTAACTCGTCTTCAAAACAAAGTTAATCATGTTCAAAGGCAGTGTCTCACCAAATTTGTGTTAGTGTGGATTTCTACATGTTAAAGGACCCCTTAAACAGGGAACTGCCCTAGGTCGACTCGATCCGGGCCCTTCTGCGCCGAGAAATTCACACTTGAAGTGGCCCCATTGCGCGATTTACCCCTCACTGGCAGGCCCTTCGGTTTCCCCTCACGCTTTTCAAGATCTTCTCACTTGGCGCCATCTCCATGATGTTGCTGTCACTGTTATGAAGTCTAGGCTGAAAAGACACAACTCTTCCGCGCTGCTTCTACGGAGCTTCCAAATAACTGTGCATTTTATACGATTTTGATCGCATTGAGTTAGATAGAACGAAAAGGCTTGCGATATGCAAAAATCTCGACAACCAAAACGTTGGTGAGACAGCCTTGAAAAATGCATTTTTGCTAGGTAGCGCAGTATTAGGAAAGTTGCAGTCGCTGCTGCTTGTTTCACGGGGTTTACTCGACATGTTAGTAACGAAATATGCTTGGTAACGCCTCTTTCTTATGCTTCCAGTGGGTGAAATAATTCAAAGGAGTCTATGGAGACACAACGTAGAGGTGGGGGAGGGGGGCGTTCATTCTGTGCCACACTTTTGCTCGACCTTGACCATCACTCTATCGCCGGGAAGGGGGGGGGGGGCGGGAGCTTGGAAGAGTTCTATTCGCGCGTTTGTTTGCTCAAAAACGCCCACGACTCCTTATAGGAAGGCGTTATAGAAAATCAGGTTTGCATTCAGTACGCATTTTCTGATATGCTCTTCATATCAAACGCCCACTTTGAATAAAAATTTGAATAAAGGGGCTTTCCTGATTAGATTGGTTTGGCAATATTTTTTGAAGAAACAAGTGAAAGCACTTGTCACACACATCTGTCATATACTCTGAGAGCTCAGGACTCGAGAACAATGATCTCGCACACGTGGTCTAGCAAGCTCGACCTTGTTCTGCCTAGACAAAAAAAGATGTAACGCAATTTTTGGCTTGAACTATGTGCATAACGCTTTCGCCTCCTATTGTCTGTATGACATGTGTTGCAATGACTAAACGATTACAAATTATTGTTAGTGCGACAATATAACTTCCATGTCTCAAAGCCCTGTGTACAAAAGCGACCACAGGATTTGAAGGTCTTGAGTGCCATCGCGGGCTAATATGCTCCTAGTGAAGCCTTGCAGTACGCTGCAACTTGGCGGCTTTCGGAGGCTACTGCCAGCTCCTTGCAAAGCTATGCCATGAGATAGGCAGATTATTAAGTCAAGAAGACACACCTACAATTGTTCTAGTATTTCTAGTTCAATTGAATTCGCAATTGATGATCATACAAGGTGAGAGTTCGAGAGCTTGGCTCTCGGACGGTTCTCATGTCGCCATTTGTTAAACTGCCTTGAAAATGGTAACCTCCACTATTTGGTGGAGACTGCACACTACTCTCGCTTGGAATTTATCGCATAACTGTTTTATTTAGCTTGGCTTGGTATTAGAACGTGCCATAGCCTTATGGAGAAGGGAACATTACGAGACTTCCGGATCTGCACTAGGGATTTTAATAGCTGGATGCTGTGTAAGTCAGTTTCTGAGAGAAAGCTTCAACGCACTCGTTCAGATAATTCGTTTCGTAGCAAAAATGAAATATCAGAATTTGACTTTGTTTAAGACTGTTAGTGTTTACGGCGGATAGTGTATTCTATCCTCCTATGATGCTAGTATTCTAAACAAAAATGTTATAGATAATTGTGGGAGCCGGCTTAGCTACCTGGTCGCTAATACAAATGAATCTCCAAGCACAGCTTGTGTACTGTGCAAGTACTTCCGAAACATCAGATAGATCAAAAATTCGATCTTATATCTTGTGTGGAATAAACCTCACTGCCTTGTTTTGCGCAGGAATGTTGTTTTTCTTGAATGAAGCTGCTCTCAAAAGGTAACTCTATTTTTCATATCAGTCAGTCTATCGTCTATTGAGAAGACATGTATCAAATCATTTATCGTCTATTTGAGGAAACATGTTAATCTGCACTCTTCGTATCAGCTACGAGAAAACTTCAATGTTATATCTGTTATAATACCCTTATCAGTGATTCAGTCAAGCTGTCATTTGTTTCTTTCTATTGCTGGCGTTATTCTGTTCACACATCAGAGCAGTATTCCAGTATTGACATTTCGAATAGTATCGGTGGCAACCTATGTAAGTATCGACAGCCGAATAGTCCAGCTAAAACCTGTAAAATTTAGATCATACCGTACTACACTTTGGCTTCTCCGCTGATTCTGCTTCTACTTCTTAAGTGGTCATCAGCTAAACGGAGAACCAAACTCGCTAAGATTACAGTTACCTCTGATGAAAATGATGCTTATTTTAACACATATTCAAAAATGTGGGCAACACTTTGACTAATAAAGATAGGTTTTGATCTATTCAAAAGGAAACTGTCAAGAAGCTCAAAAAAAAAACGAAATAGCCAGAGAATGAAAACAAGCCATGATCCACGTTTAGTGGAATCACCGGTTGACCTTAACTATTTTTGTGCGAAAGTGACTAAGCCTTGGTTCGTTGCCACTTAGGACACAAGGACGGCTTGTGAGGAGTAAAACAAGTTTTCTTGTACATGAAACGATTTTTCGCTTAAGATAAGATGCGTGGGATTCTATTAGGTCGTTCCATAAGTTCGTAGCGTTTTTATTTTCGTCCTCATTCCTTTGAGGAGCGGTTGATTTGCGGCAACTTGCATATATCATTGGGAAAGACTGATTATGCTTTTTAAAATATGTCTACTAATTCCGGTGGAAAGCTGATTCACTCGAATCCTCTAGCTTCTAAAGATGGAAATCTTGAAAGGCAAAAATGATCAATTTAGACGTTTCGCATTTTTCCTTATGAGAAGCGTTTGGCATAGAGTTTTTGTTGATCGTGGATGATGGCGCTCGCACATTAATATGAGACAAAAAACTGGATTGCTACAAATGATCAGGCGCTAAGCACGGTGTCCCTAAACAAGAACTTTCGACGGGCTGGACGTCTCGCACTGAGATTGCTGGAAAATTAGGCGACGGTCAACCATACCGAAAGCAATCCCACTGCGCCGTTTGAACCAGGCCCTTCCGCAAAAAAGCCCAACACACAGATCCAGTGAATTTTCATGCATGACAAACAATGACCTCATACGGCAAACGTTGTCAAAACTGTCCTGCAAGATTTGACTGGAAGACTGGAAGATACATCAGTACACAAAGTACTCTCCAAATCTCGCTCTATCAGATTGTCATTTGTTCCGCTCTCTCGCAAATTTTATAAAGTGCATGTTCTCGATAAGGTGCATGGTCTCGATTTCGGTGAGTAATCTGAGCACCGGTTAGATAACTTTCTTGGGACCCGGCACACTTCCGTTTAAAAAACTGAGACTGCTAAGCTAGCACGAATGTGCCAAAATTGTAAATTGATGATTCTGTTGGTTTATAAAAACGCTACGAGCTTGTGGAATTACCTAATATTATACCGTTTACAGCCGCTGTTTCAAGAAGGTGTACAATAAAGTTTGGTAAGTTGTGAACTAGTTTTCGCTGTTTTTCTTTGTTCTCACGCATGCTGATTACATTACTTACTTTTTATGCGAAAATTTTTTAAAGCGAATCATACATGGGGTAGGGGAGCATGTGCTCCCTTCGTCCTCTGGGCCACCCAACTGACCACCTTCATCCACTCGACCGATGTAAAAAAGAACGGAATTGCGAGATTAGGAGATCAACAAGTTTCCTAAAGCAAAATGCCAGAATTATAGAAATTTTTGAGATTGAATTTGTTAACGTCATGATTGTTGGCTTGTTGGTAATATTATTAGGTCGTTCCGAAAGTTCTTTCCGTTTTTTCAACCTATCATAAAAACACGTGGAATGAAGGAAGGAAAACGCTTTAGGCACTCTCTGACGCAGCTTTTCTTCCTCTTTTCAAGTGCCATATTCCTGTGCCGCTTGCTCTTGCGATCAGTGAGATAATGGCCGAAATTTCGAACCCATGGTTTTTAACATGTCCAACTTTGGCAATTTTTCAAAATCTTCTTTTTTGACTTTTGGAAAAGCTTTGATAGCCATCAGATAGAGTAAACAAAGTGCAATTTAATGCAATTTTTTGGCATTTATAGCTAGGCTCAAAAATTCTCTAGAATTATTTTTCTGATGCTATCAAATTCCACTTTTGGGGATGCCAAAAGCCACAGAACATAAAAAGGCGCACAACTAAGGTGTCATTCGATGCAGCTTTTTCTCCTCTTTCTGATGAGTACTTTCTCTTATTAGTTTGTGGGGTCTTTGGCGATAAAATTTCCGTAAATCTTGATTTTGAACCCGCCTCATGATGTATCCGTGCAATGTAAAATCTTATATTTCGAAGCGGTAAACGCTCAGTTACTTTGTAAAAATAGTGTACAATCATAAACGACTTTTGAGAGTTTCGAAAACCGAAGATTTGTTGATGTTCAGAGCGTTTGTGTGTTCTGTGACTTCGAAAAAGTGAAGACTTCTGAAAAAGTTATCTAAAAAAATAATGAGAAGCCGGCTGAAATTGCCAAAAAAAATTCCATTGCATTGCAATTTGTTCACTCTATCTGGCTGCTTTCATAGCTTCTCCAAAAGTTAAGAAAGAAGATAGTGAAAAATTGCCAAAGTTGGACATGGTAAAAACCATAGGTCCGAAATTTCGGCCATTATCTCACTGATCGCTAGAGCAAGCGGCACATGAATATGACAGTTGAAAAGAGGAAGAAAAGTTGCGTCGGGCAGTGCCTAAAGCGTTTCCCTATCTTTATTCCACGTGTTTTTACGATATGTTGAAAAAACGGAAGGAACTTTCGGAACGACCTAATATTATTACAATTCGGACTTTATTTGCTGGTTCGCTTGAGAAAGGCCGCCTCTTCTTTACGAGAAACAACAAAAGAGCCTAAAAAGAACTTTCAGTCAGAAAGTGTACATAATGTAAATAAATGACTAACGTATGCTGGAAAAATAAAGAAAATTTTATGATTAATGCAGACTTGTACAAATGATTCCATTCCTTTCTCCAGATGGCCGATTCTTCAAAGATTAACCATTTCGGTTTCACGAAGGGTCCCTTACTCAATTTTTGTTCTATACTTTGCCAGCATGATGTAACGTTCGAGTACAAAAGCAGGTGCCACTAAGGGAGCTTGATACGCTGATGAACTACGGTTTCTTGGTGTTAAAACGCTCCACGAGAATCCAGGAAGTTTCGACAATCTGCCTACTTGAACGAGGACGTGGAGGACGAGGAGCAGCTAGACATTACTATTTTCCCACGTTCAAAGAGTAGATAAGGTGAGGAGGAAAATGGCATATAATCGATGATTTTGTTCAGAAAACCTTATCTTCCATTGAAGAAGAGTAAAAAGGTAAATGACCTCAAAGGCAGCGTATACCCAAAATCTAAGTTGACCAGTTCTCTATACCGTGTATATATAGGGCTCAGAAGAAGACCAACTGCGTTGGTCCGGTCTCCCAATGTTGATTCTGAGCGGAGAAAACCCGCCTGATTTTTCTTTCATCGCCCCCTTTCTTTCACCCCGCCTCCTTCGGACGAAATCCACGTTAGCATAAGCTGCAGTTGCAGTTGCAGTTGCTGTTGCAATGCTGTTGCATGCCACTGCAACTGCATTTGCAACAGTGCAGTTGCTTTTTGCGATCCACCTCTTTCAAACGACGAATCCACGACAGCATACGCTGCAGTTGCAGTTGCAACTGCAGGCTGTCATGCATTTGCAGCTGGCTGCTTTACGCTGGCATGCCGACGGGGTCAAGCAATTCGAAACTCGTCCTCCCTTTAAAGAGATGGTCCTCGGAAATCGGGGTTTTTTGGGACCTTTGGAGGATTTCAGTATCATAACTGTAATCAGGGGCACGGAAAGGCCCCAGAATGACAAAAACATCGAAGGCGAAATTTTGGATGTACGCTGCCTTTAAGTGATCTTGTTCTTACTCCATAAAAACGACTAGGACCGCATTCACGCGATAGAAAAATCCCTTTTTCCCTGAAAACCTATAAACTTGTGGGAGCATGGGAACGACATTTCGATAAGTCATTCCTCGTCCATACTTTCTTATTCTTCTTCAAAAAAATTATTTTTATTTTACAATGGTATGAATCCACTAACCGTTTTTCAGAAGCTGTAGTGCGCTATATATTCTACATGCTTTTTGAAAGCAGACGACGAAAGGGATTTATTCGGTGAATGATGCTTCTCTTATCTTTGCATAGCTGGAAGCATTTTTGTCCACAAACTTTTGAATCCAGAAAAATTGACGGAATTTCATTACTGTCGGAATTCTTCCTGGCAATTGTGTGTTTTCCAAGTGCGCATAAAAACCAGACGCATAAAGACCAACTTAACGCATGTCTTTCTTGTCTCCTTATTCTCCATCTAAAGCATTGTCATAATTATTATTTTGTAACATTGTAGAATGCAATATTTTGCATTGTAATGCCCATTATTCCATATAATCTGTAAATATTCCCAAAAAATGAGATTAATCCAGTGCTGTCGTTATTCTCAATCGCCGGACAAGTCAGGACATCCTAGGATTTTGAATATTTTTTGTAAAATTACCATCACTTTTGAAGGATTTGTCATTACCCTAATTCTACGCGTACAAGGTGCACCTTTTTCGATTTTACAAGCAAGCCGCTCAGCCGCTTCACTGTGTTTTGTAAAGCATTTTTATGGTTTTATGCCGCACGATTCTTCTAGGCAATGCCCAGCACAGTATTTCGTCGTTTATTCGCGAGGCAAGCACTTTGGCATGTCTGGGCTGGAGGCTTTTGAAAATAAAATCCCTGAGCCTTGTACGCGGAAATGAAGGTGGATTATTAGTTTGATTATAAAAGGGTGTTACAGAAAATGTGCACACTGTTTGATCGTTAATCGCTCGCCTTCTCTAATGTCTTCTGCAGGTCTTTAGGCACCATACTGCAGGGCTTGCTTCGACTTATATTTGCGGTATAAAGCGAGTCTCCCATCTCTCTTCATTACTGTAGGACTACGGTATTAATTTTCAGCATGCAGTGCTATCAATAGGCCGTTTTATGAAAATTTCAAAAAATTTGGAGAATGGCATAGCAGTCTTTGAAGAATGCTAATTTTATTGCACAGCTTTTTACGAGTTTCACGACCTTTTTTAGTTGTATAATCACATCCTAAAATAACTTATGAAGTAAATATAATTGTGATGTCCGTATTTCATATCTCAAATCAGCGACGCTGATTATAGCATAAACGTGTTTGGCTTTTTGATCTCCTTTCGAGGAACTGCGACCCTCAAAACCCTCTTCAGAGTTGTACTGCAATCTTACAGGACAGATGAAGGTTAGAGATTTGCTTTTTTGTAAGTCTAAGTTGAAGCAAGCTCTACAGAATGGTACCTAGGCACC